ATCTCACAAGCACCACCGATCGAGTTCATGTATGATATTTCTTGATCCATTCCAAATTTTCTGACTTGATGTTTTGCAGCAATAGCATGTGATATAGCCAGAAACTAGTTCAATTTGTTGAGTCCAGGTTAAGTTTGTGGTATATTAAGATTTGATGTCTTTAAGGCTTCATCTTGTTGATTCGATCGGTTACTTTGTTCTTGCTGCTATCTAGTGGTGTGTTCATAGTTCTATGCAAGTAACAAAGCATCAATTTAGCTTTGTTCCAGCTATGTTCTCCAAGAGAGGAAAGAGATTGTAGTGGGAACCTGTTCGTTAGGGGAATTATAGGGAAATTTGTTTTGGTCAGCTAAAAAATGCTGTGTATCTTTCATCACATTGCTCTTCGTTGATGTTTTAAGCATGAGTTGTATCCTGTGTCTTTGCTTATTAGTATGATCTCTTTTTTCTTGCGGTTGTCATGGACAAAGGGTTCTTTCATACTGACATTGTTTTATCTGGTCAGCAAAGAAGTCGAAGGATGATAAGGAAAAAAAGAAACTCGCAGAAGGCGACCACAAGCTAGTGAGCTCTCTCTTACCCTTTTTTTTATATTACATCTGATAGGATATTGCCTTGGAGACTCTTTACGTGTGGTTTAAATCACAAAAGTCTCGTATGCTCTAATAGTCTAAATGTAATGTCTGACGCATCATCATCTAATTTGAGGTTCTGATAGAATGTTTTTCTTCTTTTAGAAAGAGGGGATCCCAGAGCTATCAAGTGAGGACTACTTCTCTAAGAATAAGGAGTTTGCGACATGGCTGAAAGAAAAGAAGCGCACTTACTTTAATGATCTCAAAGCCGAAGCTGCACGGGAATTGTTTTCTCGCTTTGTCAAGGCATGGAACAGAGGGAAGCTCGAGTCCCGATACTACGAGGGAATCTCCACTGCCCCACGAACAGCTCACAACTGGAATATCAAGCAGAAGTGAAAAAGCAAAACCTTCCTCCAATTTGGTTCTACCAGTTACCACTTCTTGCTTGTACATTTTGCAGGTTGATGATACAAGAAGTACCTTCTGGTTTGTGTTACTTAGAGCTCTTGTTGCAGAACTTGTTAGATTCTCTTTGAGAGACATGTTTGTAGTCAGTTTTCAGAGGAAGATAACTTCACATATCCGAGGGCTATTTTAAGGGTTTTTTTACGACGAATAGCCTTGGCTCTAGTAATTTGTGTGCATGAAATTGGATTCTCAAAAAGTAGGATTTGAACATTTCTAAGTGAGTGAAAAAGATAACAGATTCTTAATCGGGTCTCAAAGTCTTAACAAGTTCTAAAAGTTTTACAGAAGCAAGAACCATCAACTTGCAACCAGCCATAAAAACAAAAGAGTTCTGAGAATTAAAATCCAGGTTTGTTGCGCGGCTAAGTGAAAGTTACTCGACTTCAGCCAAGTAATCGTCGATTTCTGCAGGTGTTAGTACCCTGCATATAACATCCTCTTTTCAGACATTGATGGGAATATCAAAGATTCTTGATTCAATTAGTTTGCAGTCTTTGAACATTACCTGAAAACTTTGTCAGCGCCGATTTTGCCAATCTCAATGTTTTTGCTCGAGATTTCTCCCTCGAAACTGTGAAACAGACAAGATCAAAAGACACACAAAGGATGTTAGGTTTTTGTAAATCTCTGAAGTATAGAAAGAAACTACAGTAGAGTTTGGTAAAACATTCTCACCCTTCCTTCAATGTCAATATTGCCGTGTGAATGGCATCATCAAGTTCCATGTCTTCTGTGTACCTGATCAGAGACTATGATGACATGACATGATTCCAATGTCATATACTCATATCAAAAGACAGTATATATTATCACCTCTTTTCAAGAAATGTCTTTGCATTCGAAACATTCTTTCCCATTGCCGAAGCTTTCCATGAGAAATAAGAGCCAGATGGATCCACCTAGTGAAAAAATGATATTCTTAAATAAGATCTAAATCTGTGGGTTTTACTTCAGCCTCTAGCAATAGTCATGGTTATACTTATATATTCTTTAATGTTCCGCATACCTGATACAGTTGTGGACCCTTGTCATCATACCCAGCTACAAGTAGAGAAACTCCAAACGGCCTAACTCCACTAATAACAGGAGAAAGAAACCGAAATCAGAAGCACCATTCAGTAGTCAAGTAAAGTTCATGGATACCAGAGTGCTTCAACAACATTACCTCACGCGAAATCAATATTAAAGCTCAAGTTAGAAAAGGAATGACAGACAATCTAAAGTTTCATTCAATGAGCTAGTATGCGACTCACTTTAAACCTATTGAGCATATGGGAGAAAGTAACCACATAGATTTTGAATAGTACTTACCCTGATTGAGTGAACTCTTGCATCACCGTAGCAGTTTCCCTTACAAGTTGGGTAACAGGTATGGGTTCCTGCAGCAATAAAAAAAAAACCCTTAGAAATTGAATAAACTGAGCTAATGGGGTTATGAATAAGCAAAAACTTATATCAACTGGAATCATCAGTTCGAAATTTCTCCAAACCAGCAAGGATTGAATATTATACATGCATTACTAATTATTCCAAGAAAATTAGATAAAAACAGAGCTATTTAAGATTACTTTGTACAATCGGAGATATTGCTCAGCTTGCTTCCTACTCTTTCGCACAAGAACTCGGAAATCAGGACCCATACCACTTCATAGAAAGAAATACAAAAGTTAGCACTAAAATTACGAGGTCCCGAACTAAGGTAAAGATTGCTTTTCATCCACAGCACTAGCAGCTTATGAGAGATACTAAAGTACCCAAATCCAATTTTCAAGTTATAAAACGAAATCCGTTACTAAACAAGAACTACAAATAACTGAGGAGTAAAACCTGTATACAACTCCAATGTTGGGAGTCAAATGCTGAATCTTTTG